GATTCCATCGCAGTCATAATTTGTGTTATTATCCGACCATTCCCCGCTGTAGAGAGTGCTACGTGAGCTTTCCTATAAATTATATAGCGTAAAAGTCCGATTATAAATATTTCTCAACATTATTACCTATTCAGTGTAGTAAAATGCAAAGTGAGGCAATTTCTCGTTTTCCATAGGCACATCGGTATACTGTACTACACCGTTGAGATTTGCAAGTACATTATTATTCAAAGCTACAACGCTTACTTTTTGCATCTCGTTTAAAAATTATTCCAACCGCATTTGAAATTGGTACCTAAAGTAGTATCCTTTCGTTTCTTGCTTGAATAACAGTTAACTGCCTTCGCTTTGCAATCTGACTTAAACAGATAATTAACAGATATGAGATAATACTTATATCTGTCAACCCTTTTGGGCGCCGAGTGTCATTATGAGAGTAATAGTATATGATGCAAGCAATGCGGTTACGAAAATCAGATGCGTAACTTTTGAATAACAGTATTATTTGTTCCGTTAATTATTTCCAACAAGCTGACTGTTTACGTTCCAGCTGTTACTCAAACTTAACGAACTCGTACAATTGTTATATAGTCCGCTTTTGTTAATCAGCGTATGTAACAATTTATTATTTGCTAGTCAGATGCTTCTTTCCTAATCAGCAGAAATCACATTTGTATGAATGAAGGAGTGCATCAAGTATAAAGCACGCGAAATGGTTCTAAGAGGCTGGCAAACTGCGCTTGAGAAGAATGATCTTTCTTGTCTTGCGTCGTAGGTGCCAAATTAAACGAGATTGAGGCGACTGTCGATATGAGACGATGTACAGATGCCTCGGCATTTTTTTTCCCGAAATCATGGCTGAATAATCTAGCACAACATACTATGCTGTCGCTTTTTGGCTTTGAACCATTTCGGATGGACCGATCTTTTACAAAATGTACAAACAGAAAAGTTTTCGCCTGATTTCAACATATTGTGTTAGGAATTCTCTACCGTAGCGCCTTAGAGTTGACGAGTTTGCAGAATCGCCGAAGGTATTCTTAACGGTGATCAGTTATTCAGAAGAATATAATCATTTTGGCCGCAGACTTTAATCAGCACCGTCTTGAAGTCCTTCTACCACTTGGCCTGACCTACCTGGTGCATTTCACCATACACGAGGATGCGGCTCTCGACAAAGTGTTTCCCAACTTCTCCGAAAAGCATACCACTCCCCAAGCAGCTCCTTTCGAGATGTCGAGCGATTGCCATGACAGTGTTACGCTTTGCTTAAATGTACGATTCAAAGTTGCAACGGAAACGTAAGTGG